CCCCAAAACCCCAAAACCCCAAAACCCCAAAACCCCAACAATATTATAAAATATTGAAATGAATTTAAAAGATAGGAAAGGGTTTAACGTTGGGTAAGAATGCTAATTTTCAATTTGAATAGTCCAATAAACACAAGTCTTCCTAAAATAGCATCAAATAAAAATCACACAACAAAGATACAGACACTCAAAAGGTCAAAGTATTCCTTGGCAGTTAATTTACAGGAAAAGATTAGATGAATTTGATAAAGAGTCAGATACCAGCGAGAAGGCAAGTGACCCTGTAAACTTGCTCAACAGCGTTATGAGTTTGACTGAAAACGACAGATTCTTGGTCTACGATATTCAAAAATAGACTCAATGACCAAAAGAAGGATAATAGTCGGCTTTCAGAAGTTCATTTCAACTTCAAATACCTGTCTAAACTTTGTACTGAGGCCAGGAAGGAGAACCAGATACTGAGTGGGATCAACAAGAAGCTCAAAGAAGATAATCATAACCTAAAAATAGACGTTGACACTCTCCAATCCAGGGTAAAAATACTTGGAGAAGCTTCAGTGCAGCTTGAAAACGAGAGAAAGCTGAACCAAGGTAATAATATTCAACTACAGTAGAAAATATAGAGAAAAACCAGTTCTACAAGCTTCAAATTGAGACACTTCAGAAGCAGTATGATAAAATGAATGATTACATGGACATTGAGACTCAAGTACAGATTCAAAAGACTGGTACTTTCCTCTGATCTTTTAGAAAATGATAACATTCGTAAGGAAATTGAAAAGTTGAAGGACGAAATTGATACTAAAATTAGTGAAAATAAACGTTTGGAAGAAGTCATCGATACCAAAAATTAGAGCCTATGATATCCTGTTCAAAGTAATTTATTTCTTCAACTCTAGGAAAACAAAGCTATTAGTTCCAAACTAAACAGGCTTGAGGCTGATAGAGATCGGCTTAATAATGACCTGAAGGTGAACCAAGATAACCTAGACTTTATATCCACAAATAAGGACAGAATTTCTGACGAGATCCAATCTCTTAGAAAAGAAATAGAGAAGCTTAAAGCCAGGCTGAAGGCATCAACAGTTAAGGAGGTTTACCTCAACTCTAAAATCCAAGAATTACTTAGTGAAAAACAAAATGATGATATTACTATTAGAGAGCTAAAAGAAAAGCTAAATAACGGCAGTAGTTCTTTAAATCGAGAGATTTTACTCCTTAAACGTAGGTGTTTTGTTTATTACCCTTAGTGCAACTTGATAAGACCCTAACTGAAAAGGAAACTATGAGCAATGATTATACTGATCTGAAAACCCGCTTCGATGCTTTTAGAGCACAAGAAGATGATAGTGCAATAGACCAACTACAATCAGAGATCAATAATCTTGTAGAGAAGCTTGATCAAGCTAGAGATGATTTGAAAGAAGCGAAGAAAAATTATGAAAAAGAAATTAGATCACAAAGAATCCAGTACGAGAGAGAAAAGAAGTTTCTTCAAGAAGAGATCCAGGATAATAAGTATGAAATTGACTCACTTAAACGACAACAGAGAAGATTTACTGGTCATAGTGAAGCGAGCGATTACAATGATATCGGTAAGAGCCATCCAAATGTCCGCTTTGTTAGGAACACCTTTCTGCTTCTTTTGTTTACATAAGTCTTATCTGTATGTTCCACCTAAATTCACTGTCTAGATAACAACATTCTGAGTTTAAAGAAGAAGATTGATGACGCAATAGACACGATTAGATAAGCAGCCAATTCTCAAAAATGCATCAGAACAGTTAACAGAGAGGTGTTTATTTAATGAAAATAGCATGATTTCCTTCACAAATATAAAGGAAATAGAGCGCTTTTGTACTTCAATCTTTGCATTTTTGAAAGGGGTTTTGGGGTTTTGGGGTTTTGGGG